GTCGTATGATTTGGCTTGTATCGCTAACCGGGTGAAAATATTGAGCAAATCATCTTCGATGTACCCTTCCGGACCAGGTGTACGGTGGTTGGGATAAAGGGTTTTGAGTTGTTCGAGAAGGCTGAGACCTGTCTGGATTTGAATAATGGCCTGCTTATGGTCCCCAATGAAAGAATCGAAGCATGCCAAGAGAATACTAGCCATGAGTCGGGTTCTAAAAGACCGTAAGCTCTGTCCATGGAGAAGCATCATTGAATTCATTGCATCAGAGTACTGATTAACGGCAACTTGCCAATGTGACTCCAGGGTCCCTTGAAGCATCTCCTTTTTGTCTGGACTGATTATCGGAATGTAGTGGGATTGCTCCAAAGTTTTATACAGAGCACCGAGAGCAACGACTGAGTGGCGGATGGCTGACTCGGCATGGCACTCCTGCAGAACCCGCTGAGCCCAGAAGTTGGAATTGAAGTATCCCGATAGCTCGGACGAGGTTTGGACGCGGAAGAGCTCGAAATACAAGCCTTCAACTTGCTGGAATCCCAAGGTATTGGAAGGCTGGTGCAACGTAAGCGGAGTTGCGGCAGCCAAAAGGGTATGCTGTGTGACGACTGATTGGCGTTTGCGCCGATTGGCTCGGCGCGGCGGTAGGACTGTTGGTTTGACAATGCTGGAAGAGGCAATTCCAGATGCCGCCTGTGACCGAATCGCCAACATAGGTTTGGGTGCAATCCTGATATCCGCAAGTGGCCTGGCGCTCCGTGGTGGTGGGGGATAGCCCGTGCAGACCTTATTGCTTCTCACGCATTGAGTGCAGGCTGGTCGTAGCTCATCGCACTTGATGCGTCTTTGTCTGTGGGCAACGGTTAGCTTGATTGAGCAGGGCTTGTGTGAGGCAGTATCAGCGAGGAGGGGAGGGTTGCCACTCACTTGCAGTTTGAGCAGCCCGTCTTGACCTTCGGATTACTTCGCCGTCCACGCTTCACAGGCTGGCCATCAGGGCCAACGTGAGCCCCATCCTTGGACGTGGAGCTGCTGGGAGAGACGGTGGAGGAAGTGCATGGTATCGACGGCGAACTGATAGGCCTTATTAGTTGCGACTCCGGCGAAGACGACATGGCGCGTCAGCGTGTTGCGGATTGCGTTTCTTGAGACTTGAGCCCCTGACCGGCCGAGGTCCTGCTCAACGTCGGGTTGAGGAGAGGCAATGGAGTTGATAAATGACGTGAAGTATACTGGGGCGGGCCAAGCAAATATATATGACGATTCACGAGGAGCAGCGCCCATGTATTATACCGTCAGCCACAGAGACCGAGCGGCCGCCTCTGACAAGACGAAGAGGCAAGCGTTGAGTATGGCCCCTGGCTTTGGCTTAGCAGATTAATCTGCCGACGGCAAGCTGTAGACCAGGAAACTGGGACAAAGGCCAATGATGTCGCCAGAGCTAGACCGCAAGAACGCCAGACTGGTTATATGGCGGCAGTGGGAAACGCAAGAGAAATAAGTACTAGAACAAGGCGAGGCAATGTACCATGGCGCCAGCACAAGAGAGGAGCAGGCCTCAGCTCGAGCACCGCCTTGTTCAACGACAAGGACGCGGTGGTGTCATACGTCTGGTCGGTTTATGACGGAGATGGACGATATCATAGGCCACAGACGCCGAGCGAAAGCCTCAAAAGAAAAACTGCCAAAGAAAAAGAAAAAAACAAAGTTTAAAAAAACAAAACAGCTAGTAGATGCCAAAAGCAGGAAGAATCGTCAGCGTTGCAAGAATCTCGGCCTGCTTCGAGTATCTGTGGGGATGGATGTCCAAGCTTGAGAACTGCCGAATTGTACGGAGTACATATGTCGGTAGGAGGCCCTGTTAGCTCAAGCGATAGCACTCGGTACAGAAGATGCAACAGCGGAATGCTACGGCAGCGGTGGAGTAGCGAGATTGATGGCGAAGGAGGCAAAGGTCGACGTGCATCGGCGGCGTGCATAAGGGGGAACTGGGGATTTGGGGATTGGAGATGCGAAGATCCAAATGTCTGCAGACATGGAGTATTTAGTAAACGAGCAATAATATGGATTGCCTGTATGGTGCTCGGCACTCCATCCTGAGCGTAAAAGACCGAAGACTGACACTTGGGCCAAGAGAAGCTGAGGTGGGGCGCTCGAGCCAGTTGGACGAGGAAGGCGCCATTTGAACTGGGGCTCGTTTTGGGCACTACAAGTCGTCAATGGAGCAGCATTAGCGGAAGGTACGACCACAGATCGGACGATGGACGTCGGGTCAATGCAGCAGGTGCCACGGAGCCAGGGAACCTCAGGCTGCCGTTGAGCGTGCAAGCGCGTGCAAGGAGCTGGGGGCAGCTGGCACTGAAGGCAGCTGGCACTGGAGGGACTACGAATTCATCACTCGCTCACCAGACCTCAAGCGCTCACTCACAGTGTTCAAGTCTTGGCTGCCTGGCAATGTACTCCGCAATACCACTGACTTTGCCACATTCAATCAATTTGCGACAGGATGCTCCGAATTACGGAGTGCGACTCTGCATCTGATGGTGCATCAATGTGCCCTCATGTGCGTACATACAGGCCAAGTACCAAAACTTGGCTCAGGGTTGTAGAGCTTGAATGGCCTGACCCCACTAGGAGCCAGCACTGGGGATTTGCGAGGCTACTTAAGTCCTTGGAGCCAGGCGGGATCCTCGGCATTCACGCCCTCGTCTACAGGCTTGGACCTGGACGACACTATTGTCTGCCACTCAACACCCAACTTTAGAACCTTGTCAACATCACTCTATCCGGCCACCCTGCCAAAGCTGCGAGGGTTTGATCTGCACCCGTCGAACCAAGACGGTCTTGGCCACACCACAATAAGTTTGCGGATAAGTCAACCCTGGCCTGAGGAATCGGCAGAATACTCCATACATGTGTGCAAGGAGATTTCCCCGTCCTGGGTCATCGGATCTCGACGAATACTCGATCACCCTCACGGCATACATTGGGGCATGCTCCCTTTCTACGGGGTACTCCGTCCTGTTTTCTTGTGCGGCTAGACGAGGTCCTTCCCGCCCGGGCCACCGAGCAAACGAAGGAGAAATGTGACAGAAGACGCGCATCACAGGAGCCCGGTGCATCTTGTGCACCACCAATGTTGATGCCTGCGAGTGTCTCAACCAGATGCAGCACAGGGAGAGTATGCATCTTTTAGCCATTCGGCTCAGTCCTGGAGCCAACAAGGCCAAAACCCGACCTGGCAAATGCCGACAAGCCTGCTCAACACTAGTGGTCCCTGATCATTACTCAACAAGATGATGGAGGAACTAAGTGCACAATACGGAGTAGTATTATGTACTCGAGTCAGGTTATAGGCTTGTCCCGATGTAATCGTCCCTGAGACCGAGCGGAATGACCCATTTCTGTGTGACAGGGGCCTTCAGACAGGGACTGTAAAGTTTGTATCCAACGCTGCAGGCATAGATTCCGGACTGTTGGACCCAGTTTGCCAGTCCACCACCACTCACACACATGGAGAGAGAGGATAGAGAGAAGACTAGGATTCCGTCGGGAGAGGGAGCCATATGCAGGCACCCAATGCGCCCGAATTACTGGGCCTCGCATATTGCACTCCCATCGTACATATCAACTGCAGCCTCATGAGTGGAACAAGGCGATGCTGCAGGTCGTGTCAGATAGTTGGCCACTACCCCGTACATCCGGACATCAAACCGCTTCTCAACCACTGGCTATGGACTTGAGGTGTCTTGCGGCCAGCCTGGTCTTCTTTCAGAGCTGGCCCGATTCTCCTTGCGCTGCCATGACACGCCTGTATCTCTTGTTGCATCAACTGGTCAGTGGGATAGACGTTTTCACTAGCGTACGGAGCATACTACTTGGCTATGGAGAGACATAGGTAGTATAACGTCTTGCAACAGTCTGGCACGGCTGATCGGATCAACTGCTCATCGGCGTCGGACCGCTAGACTTTACCCCGAAAGGCCAAGCGGATTGCCAGATTACTACTATCATCAAACTACCGTGACCGTCATGCGTATGTAAGTCGTTGGATAGTACCAGCCGAACCGTGGGTTTGAGGGTCTAGTGGCCGAATAAAGCTCGGGTGGCTCTCCCATTGAAGCGAAGCTTCGAGGCTTGGCTTGATTCGCATCGAGAACAACGCCCATGTGGACAAGCCTGACATCGGCGGCCGTAATCGTGCTGTCGCCGATTTTTGTGGAGAGCAGTAGCATCTGGAGCTTGATCTTGATGTACCCGTGGGTGTCATTCAACGGGACCAACAGCGGATGGTCCAAGAGAGAGCATTTTGAGCGACAAGTTGGATCCATCGGTCGTCCTTGGCGCCCACCAATTTACCTTTAAGTTTGCGGTCGGACCTGCAGCTCCTCGGCAGCCTTGGAAGCGAGCTGGCAGGAAGGATGACATACAGAAATCCAGAGGCCTAGTGATGCGGGCGATTGCTGCGCTGTGTGCTGCATGCGATATATGTGGCTACGATACTTTATACAACGCATTGCGTTGTAGTAGTCACTCCGTGCCAAGGTACTCCCTACACAGGCGCTACTTCATGCATCCTATCTCAGATTGGGGTGCCGTATTTCTCCGTGAACCACTGTCGGTTTGTCACCGCCATGTGGCAGACGTTGAACAAGCACCAATCACGTCCCCTATTATTCTCTCCATATTCTTAAAAGTCCTGACATGTCATCTGCAAGTTGGCGAAGGCTGTTAGCGAAAAGGAAAAGGAAAAAAAAAAAAAAAAAAACCGTGGAGCCAGGTGCCACTACAAATATCAAGGCCTTGAGGCCCATAAAAAATCTGTTTCCGATCAATGAGGGCTTGGTTGCCTCATAACAACCTTGAGCGTCCGCACCTGACGACATGATGACATCCCTCCAACGCAGTGATTGAAGTCAGCGTTTGAAGTGGCAGCGGATATCTGCGGCACCAAACACTACGATACTGATTTCGATCGTCACGATCACAATACCGCAGTCATGTCACAAGAGCGGCCAACGGAGCCGGCTCTGCCACCCCGAAGCCCCATCATCCACAATATCGCTCTTGCGGGAGCCATCATCACACCGCTGGTCATGCTCTTACCGCCAAGGAAGATGGACATACGGTTCTTCGTGCTGGCAGGAACGTTTTCCCTCGCCACCAACCAGCTCGCATACGAATACACCGGCCAGTCGATATATGGACGATTCGGCAACCGAGTCGGCAACGTCTTTGACAACAGCCTGCCAGAGGGCGCGAGGAAAACACAGCTCCTCCTGAGGGAGCAGAAAGAGAAGGAGGCCGCAGAGAAACAACGACAAATGCAAGAGAAGAACAAGACTGCTGGCATGGTGAAGGATATCTGGATGGGAGGCGAGTCGGAGGACTGGCAGGAGAAGCGTGCGGAGGAGCATCGGAAGAGCATGGAAGAGGGCAAGGGGCTGAGCGGGATTATCTTTGAACAGATTGCGGATGTATGGAATGGGAACTATGGGAAGAAGGCGGCCAAGAAAGAAGAGGACGCCACAGCAAGCAACAAGTCGGAAAAGAAGTGATGGGCGGGTTTGTAGACGAAAACATGTGACCCCCTCGAGATTGTGTGCGAATATGGAAATTGGGCACCAGCACGGGGTCGGACGAGGAAGATTGCTGTGCCCTTGTATCATCACCTTGTACAGATAGATTGAACTCTAATGAGCCATATGGACAATGGAAATAACGGGGTTTTGTTGTTGCATGGCTGGGACGAGGCTTGGAAGGTGTCAATGACGACATGGGACGAAGGCTGGGAGGTTCTAAGATTAGGTGCGGTGCATGTGCCTTTATGGTTTTCCAGCTCGTTGCTGGCCACCAGGCGCGCAGGTTATGGATATGGTATCTCGGGCTGGCGCTTCATCGGGATGATGGACAACGCATACCCACAGTGAAGATGGCTTCAAGGCTTGGTTGGCTTGGTACTCGGTATGTACAGTGTGGTGGAGTGGTTCGGCCGCGGGGGCTTGGGCGAAGTGCACAGCCATGAATCCTGTTTCCAAAGTTAGCAACACTGCGTGGCGTCCACGTTGCCTCACGAGCTGGAGCTGGCTGAGCTGTTTTTGCTATCCTCGACGACGGATGACGATGGCAAGAGGGGAAAATGCCAAGTTTTGTAGGCGTGAGTTGCCTGTGGGCATATACAGATGTGTGAGCGCCCAGGTATCGAGAGCGACGGCTCGTGGACGTCTTGAAACAAATGCCAAGTTGGAGCAGACAGCGCTTGATGACTGCAAAGGGGGTTCAAGAGGTTTGCTGCTCTTGCACACGGCATAAGACATGCAACACCAGAGGCTGAAAGGGCCTTTTTTTTCTCAACGCCACCGTACGGAGTACAATGACGGAATGGAAAGCCTCGTTACAAAGACTGACGGTCGATCCTTGTCAGCTTTGCACGCGTCCCAGGCCGTGTACTCGTTTGATCAGCGAGCAGCTTTGCCCCTGGCCATGACAAAACACGGGATCTGCGCCAAGAAGGAATGCGAAGATGGGATCAATGCCACGGTGCGCCAGAGGGGCGAGGCTGGGTCGTTTGGTCTGCTGGCATTTTCGCCCGCCGACACACTTGGGCATGGTATATTTTTGACTCTGTTCATCATTCCATGCCGTTGGACCCAGTTGCCGGCACGGCACGGATTTCGAATGGCCGCAGCTAGCAGACCCTGAGACAACGCGCGCGGCCTTGAAGAACGGCCGCAATTTGCCTCGGCGAATCAGGTCGGTTTGCGAAGTCTGTTCACGACGGCCTGACGCTCTGGCAGCGGCTGGTGCTTCGTTTGGCGTTGCCGCTGCGGAGTGGACCAACCACGGCATTTTTCGAAGATTGAGTCTTGATTATAGCAGCCGTAATTTTTTTTTTTCCTTTTTTTCCCCGCCCTGATTAGACTTAATTTTGGCTGTTCCCTGCTCCTATTATTTTTTCGACCCTGTCCAGTTCAGTTGCTGTTGTCTGGTGCTGCGCAACTTATTCTTGGAGCGGCCCGCTGGTGACACAATGAACTACAATCTAACCCCTGTAAGTTTAGCCGTTAGTGACCTGACAGGGAAGTGTATAGGGGCTAATATACAGGGGCCTCTCTTCTAACAAGAGCATTTTTAATTTATATTAGTGGCTGTTAATTATAATTTTTAGGGGGGAACCGTGACTTATATTAATTAGAGATGTTTATTAGCTTATTAGGTATTAGCCCCCCACTAATTATTCCCTTTAATGGCCGTAGCCGCCCTTATTATGTCACAGGGCAGTGATGAGTCGACTGGTGCGAGGCGCAAGTACCTGCGAACCGGGGTACTTGGGCATTCAGGGCCCCATCAGTGCATCACCGAGGCACTCAGTACTCCGTATCTCGTACTCTGCCCGCACATTGTAAGACACAGCCACTCCACATGGGCGTCGTCGTCGACCTGAGAGCCCACTCCCAAACGCCATCTTAATACATCAGTGCTTGTTTTCCACCGTCCGTCACCATCGCACGTCGACACGTCGTTTTGCATCTGCCACCCCCATCGCTCCCACGGCACGAATAATCGCGACTGCTACTGTTACCAAGGCCCAGGAGCGCCCTATCGCTTTATTCGTTTTATTTCATCATTCCGTCTTGCCTGATCGCCCGTCTCTGAACCACCTCGGCTTGGGCATTCATCATCTTCTGCTGTTGCTACTGCCGCCGCCCGTTTGATTTTTCAACTGTTCAACTATTCCTAGCATTCTCCGATACGCCATCGACGCCGAATCTCCAGAGTACAGATTAGAACAGTCCTTCAGCGTCGCCCACGATGGCGTCCAACACCTACTACTACGACAACAGCCAGCGTCCACCGCCGAGCTACCACTCGACGCCTGACCCCTACTTGCAACAGGCACATATGCCCTACCACAGCGATAATTCTCTCTCTGCAGCTCCAACCATATACGGTGCTGATGGCAACAGCAGTAGTCACGTACATGGTCAGCAAACTGGACAGTCTCCGTTTGCTTCTGTTTTTGACGACAACTACGCAGCCGGCAGCACCAGCACTCTACCACATGGCCATCAAGGCCAGTATCCCGACACGGCCTACTACGGCCAGGCGGGCGCGGCCGTAGGACCCCATGCCCAGGGTGATATCCCATTGCAGGACCGAGCCGGCAAGAATGATGACATGAACGATCATATTTACGATGCTCCAGACGCGGGAATGGCGGGAGAAGGGCGAAAGAGGAGAAAACATGTTCGTGTTGGCGAATTGGGCATGTTGGGATCGGACAAGAAGAGGATTCCCTGGGTATGCTATGTTTTTACGGTTGTGCAGGTGGGAGTGTTTATCGGCGAGATCATTAAGAATGGTAGGATGCTGATGCCGGAAGCGTTGACCGCTTCCTCCCGCCCCCCCGGTGTCTTGCTGAATGAGTGCTGACGTTTTTTAGGCATGCTGACTGGCTCTCCCATCATGGTCAAGCCACAGTTCAACCCCATGATCGGCCCGTCGACCCAAGTCCTCATCAACATGGGCGCACGATATGTCCCCTGCATGCACAACGTCAAGGAAATCCAGGGTTCCAGCATCCCCGTCTTGTTCTTGTGCCCCAACGCAACCCGAAATGATCAGTTCTGCCCTCTTTCCGAAGTGTGTGGATTCGGCGGCGTGCCCGACCCGACTTTCAACAATGCCAACCAGAGCCCTCAGCCGAACCAGTGGTTCCGCTTCATTTTGCCCATCTTTCTGCATGCTGGTCTTATCCACATTGGCTTCAACATGCTGCTGCAGATGACGTTGGCCAAGGAGATGGAAATGGCGATTGGGTCGGTGCGATTCTTCCTCGTCTACCTCAGTGCTGGTATATTTGGATTTGTCATGGGCGGTAATTTTGCCGCGCCTGGCGTTGCCTCCACCGGAGCTTCTGGCTCGTTGTTTGGAGTTATTGCTCTGACCCTGCTGGACCTGTTCTATTCTTGGACGGAGCGAAGAAACCCTGTCAAGGATTTGATGTTCATAATTCTGGACATTGTGATTTCCTTTGTGTTGGGACTGCTGCCCGGATTGGATAACTTTTCGCACATTGGCGGGTTCCTGATGGGCCTTGGGCTCGGCATCTGTCTTTTGCACTCGCCCAACGCGCTCCGAAGAAGGATTGACGGCAGCGACAACACGTCATACTCGGTCGTCAACAGCGGCAGCGACGACACCGCGCCGGGCTTCCTCAAGAGCCCAATTGGTTTCTTCAAGGGCCGAAAACCCCTGTGGTGGGCTTGGTGGCTTGTCCGGGCGGGCTTCCTCATTGCCGTCATCATTGTGTTTATTGTTTTGCTCAGCAACTTTTACAAGGGTACCCATACCTGTGGTTGGTGCAAGTACCTCAGTTGTCTTGTAAGTTTTGTACCGCCCTGTCCCTGTCCAAATGATGTCATGCTGACTTTTTTTTGTTTTTGTAGCCTGTTAGCAACTGGTGCGACATTGGAACGATTCAAAAGCAACCCGCCTAAACACCCCTTTTTTATGTCTGCAACGAACATGGGCTATACGCTGTGCATGTGCCAACCGTCACTTTTCTCATCGTCTGGTATCTGGTTTGGATTAGGGTAGACTGAGTTTTCTTTTCTTTTCTTTTTCTTCTTTGGACACGAGCTTTCTCACAGCGACGGCGTTTGCGGTTGTTTTGGTCCGATTAATGAATGTGGATGCAGTTATGCGAGGAAGGAGAGATTGGTGTAGCATTAAGTTCTGTATACTTATCTAATGATATTCATTAACGACTAAATTGGGACGTGTAGGCGGTTTATCTGGTGAAAATGATTGGTAGTCTTGCTGCTTCGTGCTGCGCGCCTCGTGGGTACATGTAAACTTGGGCCATGCACTTGTAACATGGGCATGTATGTTCGTCCACCAGTCTGTCTGGTCTTGATTCGCAAATGTACCGAGGGTGGGAATTCATATCACAGCCTCGACTTTATGTTTAAACATAAGAACAATTCAAGTACAAAATAATACAAATAGTTTACCCTTGTCTCTATTAATATAATACCTTGAACGAAGGGAATGCACAGTCCCCAAGGGCCCTGGGAGGGTATACGGGTGCCGTCTGGAGATGAAATCCCCGTCGGAACAAAGGGAATTCCAATGGCTGGTGGTCAAAAGCACGCGTCTGGTGGTTTGGTAAGTGCCTGCGGTCTATACGCGTCGAAAGCTTGCCGTCGATGCGGTTACACAAGATGCCGTGTTCCACAACCTCCGCGAGAAACAGGGACTTTTGCCGAACAAGCAGCACATTTGTCGTCATTGCTTTCTCTGGAAGTAAGCCGCCGCCCTTTTAATAGATCTTGGCGTAATGTTTTAATTCTATTCTAACCTCGTAGTTCGCCGTGGGGACTCCAAGACGGGCACCTTCAAACCATCCGGTTCCCCGGAGGAGATTGGAGAAGGTGTCGGTCTTGCTAGTGCAGACGCCGACTGGACTGGGAACAACTTGGCAGGGGACTAGTGAAGCAATGAAGGTAGCTGCCAGACAGGCAGACACCGTCGTCGACACAATGGAGACGAAAGTTGACACAGCTCGGAGATTGGGCAACGTGCCCTTGTGCGGGTTTTCTGGCAACGCGGCGGTCTGAGGTGCGCTTTTTGCGTTTTGCAGCTCGTTCCCGGTACGTTGACCTGTGCCGAAGTTTGTACAATTGGTGCTGACTTTAATGGTAAATGTCTGGCTCAAGTAGTGGGCGAATGAGGGTGCCGTGGCGCCGAATGAGAAAATTGGGCAAATGTCTGGGCGGACATGTTGGGCTTGGGAGTGCTGTTGCCATCCTTCTTGCCACTTGGTATGACTGTTGGTTGCAAGGACAATGCAACGAGTGAGATTATGTATGATGTTCTGCGGATGTGGTTCGACGGATGGACCATTATCGTCATAGCGCAGAAGTTGCAGTGGGTGTTGGCCTTTGCTAGGGTTGCCGTGTTGGATACGGGAAGGCTTGTAGAGTATGATGAGCCCAAGAGGCTGTTGAAGAGGAACTTGGGGTTAAAAGGCTGTATAACGTGTCTGTACCGAGAGCGCAGGGCGAGAATAGCGAGGAGGAGGAGGCTTGACAGGAGGTTTAGGATAGGAGCAGTGGACGTAAGTGGAGGATCCCTCACGTGAGTTGAGTGTAGTATATTTTCTGCATTCTACTCCTAGTAAATTTCCTCCCATCAGGTATCCATGATTCCCAGAACTAAGAAAACTCCAGTAATGCGGTCTTGTCTCATAGCATCGTAGTGTGAATAATTACCAAGGCAGTCAGCACCTACCACCCAAGCCCCCTACTCATGGCAAGATAGTCAAGCTCAACACCATGCAGCCAGAGGTGCATCGTCAATTCAGCAGTCCGAGTCAGCTCGTCGGCAGATGGGCCTGGGTCGCGAAACATGTTGTTGGCGTCGTCTTCGTAGACTATGCCATGGGTACCATCTTGTCTTTGCTCGGGGAAGAATCTTTGTCTGATGAACCTTCGTATGTCCAACAAAGATAGTGAGTCCTCTGTCGAGGAACCGGAGTCCTCCTCCGTGTCCTGTGGCGGCGGCAGTACCGGGACGTGAATGGTGGTGCTGAAGTGGGAATGCTGGCAGAGCGGCAGCAAAGGCGAGAGTATGGTGGCTTCATCGACCAATGTCCAGGATGCTTCAGAGTCATGGTCGATATAGACATCCAGCGAACGGAGATGCTGGAGTTTAGCGATTGCTGGCCATATGTCCTTCCATATGGTGGAGGGTAGCTTGTTGTTTGGGCAAGTTGGGAATTTTTGCTGCTTGCATTGCAACTCAATCATCTTGTAGACTTGCAGCGGAAGGCGGAAGGCGAGACGAAGTCTTCTCACGCCAGTAAATGAGCTTAACAGTATACTGTCGGTAAACAAACATGTTTTGTCGTCATCCCCTTTCAAAAGCTGGTCAAGGGCAGCGAGTTCGGTGATGTGTAAAACGGACTTTTCAGCTATCAAGCCTGCAACCTCGCCATATCTATAAATGGATCAGTGGATGACCAACAGCACGTCCGTCCTCTCGCAGCATCATTTACATTCTCTTACAAGACTGCATCAATGCCCTTGTTGGATCGCGGTCAGCACTAAGATTAATGCGGTCCACGTCCAAACCAAGGGCAACTTCCTCGCATCTCCAATGTGAAGCCCAAGATGAACCCAGCCGACGAGCCCAAACATCACGGGGAGGGTCGCCCGATGACTGACGGTCGAAGCAGAAGTAGTCGTTGCTGGGCTGCGGAGTGATGCATGCCGAGATGCAAATGCGGCCATTACGGAGGTAGATGTGAACACCCTCCTCGACGATGAAAGAATACGTGTGCCGACGTATCTCGACGGGCAACAGGAAAAGGCTGCTCTGTGTCTGAGGATCCATCTCCTTGTTGACAGTTTCCTCAGAGGACATGTCTCGGCGAGATCAGAATCACATTACAAGGTGAGGTCCGGCAGCATCGGACGGGGGACACAACATGGTTATACGTTTACAAAGAGGAGCTTCGCACTCCCAGGAGCACAGGAGTCCGTAGTCTGGGGCGCGTTTTATCGGACCCGAGTCAATTTATTGGCATGAGAGTATGGGGCGTCGGGCTGAGTTTGTGACTCGTCGTTGGCCAGGAGCAGCAAATGGGGGTGAAAGCTGATCATGGGCGCGGGTGGCATGAATGCCCACGTAGCTGGCTTTGTGAGTGAGTTGAGGAGGCTTGGGAGAGCGACAATTATCGGGAATGAGAAATTCGACAACGCTTCCAAAACTCCGAAGGGACTCCGGCCGACATGATTGGCACGCTGCCGTCCAACGTTGTTGTCTCTTCTCGAGCCTGTGCATCCGTGACATGGGTTGTGAGCAAGGTCTTGGATGTTTGGCCTTCCGTGTTGGCTGATTGTGGACAGGTGACAGGCGGGATGAGCAGGAGCTGCCACGGCAGACAGGGAAGGACCGGGCCATGTGCACGGGTTGTGCACGGTACCTGGTGTTGTCTGTCAACTTGACCATGCTAATCCGTATTCGGTACATAGCGGAGCTAGCAGGGAGACAACGGAGCTACGTCTTCCTTGGCGCTTCCCAGCTACACTTTCACGTCGCGCCAGGTCACGTGCTAATCCATTAAACTTGACGTGGGTCCGTCACGTCACGGTCCCAAGACGCGTTTTCGTGGACACTCAAAATGCACCATACTACGAGTACTTCGCCAGCAATCCAACCACATGCGACCTTGCCATTGACTGACTGTGCAGCCAAAGAACTCACCAGGGCATTAATCTAAAGGCTCAAGAAACCTGGCCACATCTCATTCACGGCATCCGTCGCATCCATCATGACCTCCGTCCTGCCCCAGAAGCGGGTGCTAGGCGAGGCAGGCACCCGCCAGAACATTCCGCCATCAACGCCAGGCTCAGCCAAAAAGCGTAGGACCGATATCTTTTCGTCGTCACCGGCGGCCAGATTCACAGGGTCCCAAAGAGATCCCAAAGCAAAGCTTGGATCGAGCCAGCCAAAAAGTGCCTTTGAGACCGAGGTCTTGGAGAAGCTGAGCCAAGACATCTCAGACCTGAAGCGCAGCAATGCCGAGAAGGATCAGGCATGGGACCGCCCACCAGTTGTCGACTTTGAGCCCCAGCGTGATAGCCTGTGTTTCCAGTCTATCGAAGCCGAAGAAGGAACCTTGCATGGTGGCAAAGCGACTGTCAAGTTATTCGGCGTCTCGGAAGAAGGCTACTCAGTAATGCTGCACGTCACCGACTTTAAACATTATCTCTATGTCCGTGCTCCGGTTCTATTTCAACCGCACGATGTCGGCAATTACAAGACTTTCCTTGAGGGACAGATCGCTCAGCATCAACCCGCTATTCATTCGGTCGCCCTGCTTTTCAGAGAAGACATTTATGGCTTCTCGGGCAACGAGCAGCACGCCTATCTCAAAGTTACTGTCACGGACCCCAAATTTATAAATAAAGTGCGCTCTACTATAGAAAGTGGAAATGCGAACTGGAAAGGCATGTGGGGAGTCACAGAAGGCATCAGGACATACGACAATATCCAATACGTCCTTCGTTTCATGGTGGACTGCAAGGTGAGATTTGACGCGAACATTGGCAATACTTACGCATAACTAACCAAGTGCCATTAGGTCCAAGGCATGGCATGGGTCGAAGCGCCAGCGACCAGATACAAGATAGTCCCCGAAAATCTCAGACAATCCAACTGCCAGATCGAAGCGGAAGTCCCATATCTCGACTTGATTGCTCATAAACCCGAAGGCAAATGGGCCAAGATGGCTCCACTTCGTATCTTATCTTTCGACATCGAGTGCGCTGGCAGAAAAGGTATCTTCCCAGAAGCCAACCAGGACCCGGTCATTCAAATCGCCAATGTCGTCACAAAGTATGGAGAGAAGAAGCCATTTATTCGTAATGTCTTTTGCCTGGATACAACAAGCTCTATCGTAGCTACGCAGATTCTAGAGTATCAGAAGGAAGAAAGGATGTTGAGCGAATGGCAGCAGTTCCTAATTCGAGCCGATCCAGATATTATTATCGGGTACAATATTGCCAACTTCGATTTTCCTTACTTATTGGAGAGAGCAAAGCATCTCAAAGTCAGTGGCTTTGAATACTGGTCTCGTCTTCCCAGTGTTCCGTCTAGGGTCAAAGAGACAAATTTCTCGAGTAAGCAAATTGGTAATCGAGACACCAAGGCCACCAACACCAATGGGCGACTGCAGCTCGATTTACTTCAGTTGATTCAACGAGATCATCATCTTCGAAGTTATACTCTTAACTCTGTGTGCGCACATTTTTTGGGCGAACAAAAGGAAGATGTGCACCACACCATGATCACTGAACTTTTTAACGGTACTCCAGAATCAAGACGACGTTTAGCCCTCTACTGTTTAAAGGACGCATATCTTCCACAGCGACTCATGGATAAGCTTTCATGTCTGGAAAACTACACCGAAATGGCAAGAGTTACTGGTGTGCCCTTTAACTTTTTACTGTCCCGCGGCCAACAAATCAAGTTTGTGAGCCAGCTATTCCGCAAAGCTTTAGAACAGAAACTGGTGATACCTAATATCCGGTCTGATGCCTCGGACGAGCAGTACGAAGGTGCCACAGTTATCGAGCCTGTCCGAGGTTATTACGATGTGCCTATTGCCACCCTGGATTTCGCGTCCCTATACCCGAGTATTATTCAGGCACACAATCTATGCTATACCACACTGGTAAAGGACAAGAAGCTGATTGAAAAATTTGGCTTGGTTAAAGACGAAGATTACATCGTCACACCCAACGGAGACACCTTCGTAACAACCAAACAACGCAAGGGGCTTCTAGCGCAGATTCTTGAAGAACTGTTAACCGCTCGTAAACAGGCCAAGCGCGAGTTGGCTCAGGAAACAGATCCATTCAAGAAAGCTGTATTGAACGGTCGCCAGCTCGCGTTAAAGATCAGTGCCAACTCCGTCTATGGATT